AGTGACCTTCACTGGCGTCCTAGGAAGTCACAGTGACTTTCACTGGGATCCTAGGAAGTCACAATGACTTCACTGGGGTTCTAGGGAGTAACAGTGAACTTTGCTGGGGTTCTAATAAGTCACAGAGACTTTCACTGGGATCCTAGGAAGTCACAGTGATTTTCACTGGGGTTCTAGGAAGTCACAGTGACTTTCACTGGGTTCCAAGGGAGACACAGACTTTCACTGGGGTCATAGGAAGTCACAGAGACTTTCACTGGGATCCAAGGAAGTCACAGTGATTTTCACTGGGGTCCTAGGAAGTCACAGTGATTTTCACTGGGGTTCTAGGAAGTCACAGGGACTTTCACTGGGATCCTAGGAAGTCACAGTGATTTTCACTGGGTTCCAAGGGAGTCACAGTGACTTTTACTGGGGTCCTAGGAAGTTAACACCATACTTGGTACATTGAGATGGACAGTAAATATATAAAGACAAACAGGTCACATACAGTACATTTCGAAGTTCTAATGCTAAGAATCTAATTCACTGACAGTACATCTCGAAGTTCTAATGCTAAGAATCTAATTCACTGACATTACATCTCGAAGCTCTAATGCTAAGAATCTAATTTACTGACAGTACATCTCGAAGTTCTAATGCTAAAAATCTAATTCACTGACAGTACATCTCGAAGTTCTAATGCTAAGAATCTAATTCACTCGCAGTAAATCTCGAAGTTATCATGTTAAAAATCTAAGTCACTCACTTTTAACCTCACAGCTTAATGCTAAGAATCTAATTCACTCGCAGTACATCTCGAAGCCTTAATGCTAGGAATCTAATTCGCTCACAGTAAATCTTAAAGCCTAAATGCAAAGAATCAAATTCACTCACTGTTAACCTCAGAGCTTAATGCTAAGCATCTTATTCACTCGCAGTACATCTCAAAGCTCTAATGCTAGGAATCCAATTCACTTGTAGTACATCTCAAAGCTCTGATGCTAGGAATCTTATTCACTCACTGTTAACCTCACAGCTTAATGCGAAGAAACTAATTCACTCACTGTACATCTCAAAGTCTTAATGCTAAGAAACTAAAATCACTGGCTGTTAACTTCACAGCTTAATGCTAAGAATCTAATTCACTCGCAGTACATCTCAAAGCCTTAATGCTAGGAATCTAATTCGCTCACAGTACATCTCAAAGCTATAATGCTAAGAATCAAATCCACTCACAGTACTTTTCAAAGTTCTAATGCTAAGAATCTAATTTACTACGAATCTAATTCAGTTGCAGTACATTTCGAAGGTATAACGCTGACAATCACATTTACTCAATCTCATTTACTCAAAGCGGTAATGCTAAGAATCTAATTCACTCGCAGTATATCTCAAAGCTCTAATGCTGAGAATCTAATTCACTATCTGTACATCTCGAAGCTATAACACTAACAATCTAATTCACCTGTAGTACATCTAGAAGCTTTAATGCTAAGAATCTGATTCACTCACTGTTAACCATAAACATTAATGCTAAAAATCTAATTCGCTCACAGTAAATCTTAAAGCCTAAATGCAAAGAATCAAATTCACTCACTGTTAACCTCACAGCTTAATGCGAAGAAACTAATTCACTCACTGTACATCTCAAAACTATAATGCTAAGAAACTAAAATCACTCGCTGTTAACTTCACAGCTTAATGCTACGAATCATATTCACTCGCAGTACATCTTGAAGTTCTAATGCTAAGAATCTAATTCACTGACAGTACATCTCGAAGTTCTAATGCTAAGAATCTAATTCACTGTCAGTACATCTCGAAGTTCTAATGCTAAGAATCTAATTCACTGACAGTACATCTCGAAGTTCTAATCCTAAGAATCTAATTCACTGACAGTACATCTCGAAGCTCTAATCCTAAGAATCTAATTCACTGACAGTGCATCTCGAAGTTCTAATGCTAAGAATCTAATTCACTGACAGCACATCTCGAAGTCCTAATGCTAAGAATCTAATTCACTGACAGTACATCTCGAAGTTCTATGCTAAGAATCTAATTTACTACGAATCTAATTCAGTTGCAGTACATTTCGAAGGTATAACGCTGACAATCACATTTACTCAATCTCATTTACTCAAAGCCGTAATGCTAAGAATCTAATTCACTCGCAGTATATCTCAAAGCTCTAATGCTGAGAATCTAATTCACTCACTGTCAACCATAAACATAATGCTAAAAATCTAATTCGCTCGCAGTAAATCTTAAAGCCTAAATGCAAAGAATCAAATTCACTCACTGTTAACCTCAGAGCTTAATGCTAAGCATCTTATTCACTCGCAGTACATCTCAAAGCTCTAATGCTAGGAATCCAATTCACTTGTAGTACATCTCAAAGCTCTGATGCTAGGAATCTTATTCACTCACTGTTAACCTCACAGCTTAATGCGAAGAAACTAATTCACTCACAGTACATCTCAAAGTCTTAATGCTAAGAAACTAAAATCACTGGCTGTTAACTTCACAGCTTAATGCTAAGAATCTTATTCACTCGCAGTACATCTCAAAGCTCTAATGCTAGGAATCCAATTCACTCACTGTTAACCTCACAGCTTAATGCGAAGAAACTAATTCACTCACAGTACATCTCAAAGTCTTAATGCTAAGAATCTAATTCACTCACTGTTAACAAACAGATTAATGTTAAAAATCTTATTCACTCGCAGTACATCTCAAAGCTCTAATGCTAAGAATCTAATTCACTCACTGTTAACAAACAGATTAATGTTAAAAATCTTATTCACTCGCAGTACATGTCAAAACTGTAATACTAAGAATCTAATTCACTCACTGTTAACAAACAGATTAATGTTAAAAATCTTATTCACTCGCAGTACATCTCAAAGCTCTAATGCTAAGAATCTAATTCACTCACTGTTAACAAACAGATTAATGCTAAGAATCTTATTCACTTGTAGTACATCTCAAAGCTCTAATACTAAGAATCTAATTCACTCACTGTTAACAAACAGATTTATGTTAAAAATCTTATTCACTCGCAGTACATCTCAAAACTGTAATGCTAAGAATCTAATTTATTCACTTTTAACCTCACAACTTAATGCTAAGAATATAAGTCATCCATTGTTATCCTCACAGCTAACTGCTAAGATTTTAATTAACTCACAGTACATCTCTAAGCTCTAATGCTAAGAATGTAATTCACTCGCAGTACATCTCTAAGCTCTAATGCTAAGAATCTGATTCACTCACTGTTAACCATACATATTAATGCTAAAAATCGAATTCACTCGCAGTAAATCGTAACAGTTAAGTTAGCCTACTGAAGTAGATCAAATATTTTATTAAGGCACACCATTTGGTCCTGCCACGAGTTGTTAAATATAACAATATCATCAATATACGTTTTCACGTTTTCCAAATCTCTCAAATGTCCATCTTTTAAATGTGGCCGCACTATTCTTCACGCTGAATCTTTATTATATTGGTATAAATTATCCGATGTTACAAATACAGAATTTTTTTTTACTCTTTCGTTTAAAAGAACATCCCAATAACATTTCAAGATATCACGTTTGATTAATGTCAATCCTGTCATCCACTTTAGGTATGGGGTATAAATCAGTTTTTAGCAAGAGAATTCACATTCCGAAAACCACACAAAACAACACACACAAGAAGAAGACCAGTTACTATCACATGGAGCAATGAAGTTGATCACAAGCACATACTTTTGTTTGTTTGTTTACACATGATCTCTAATTTCATAGGGTTATCACAGTAAGGATACTGTTTGATAAGAAAAGCATTTCTCACACATACATCATAAGCATTTACATTGGTTTTACTAAGAACGTCTGAAATAATTAGCAATAC